GGGTCCCAGAAGGGCGGGTCCCTGGCAAGGGCTCCACCCCCAGGCCTGTGCCCACGAACCTAGGTGAGGACAGGCACTCCTGCCTTGGAGCCCAAATGTTGCATTTCCCAAGACCACCCTGGCCTGCCACAGCGTCATCCTATGCGTATAAAAATCCCAGAGACCCTGGCAGGCAGATACACAAGCAGCTGGACGTCGAGAGGAACACATCGGCGGAAGAAGATACAAGCAGCTGGACGTCGAGAGGACATTGAAGGGCGAATGCTGGCGGAAGAGCACACAACAGACACCGGCACGCCAGCAGGGCATCCGCCAGAGGAAGGACGCGGAGTTTGGCCGGGAGTGTTGGAGAAGAGTCGGTGGCAGTCTGACTCCAGGGAAAAACCATCTGCCTTCTGGCTACCCCATCTGCTGAGAGCTTCTTCCAGTCAATAAAACCTTGCACTCTTTCTCCAAGACCACGTGTGATCCAATTCCTCCGGTACACCAAGGCAAGAACCCCGGAACACGGAAAACCCTCTGTCCTTGCAGTAAGGCAGGGGTCTAATAGAGCTAACACAAGCCGCCTACGGACAGCTAAACCGAAAGAGCACCCTGTAACATACACCCACTGGGACTTCAGGAGCTGTAAACATTCACCACTAGACACTGCCGTGGGATTGGAACCCCACAGCCTGCCCATCTGTATGCTCCCCTAGAGGTCTGAGCAGCGGGCACTGAAGAAGCAAGCCACACCCCCATCGCACGCCCTGCGAAGGAGACAAGAGAACTTTTCCCCTTTCCATACTCCCCGGTCTCATCCTCTCACCTGCAAGGCGTTTTACATCCTCACCTCCACCTCCACCCCAACCCAACTACCTCACCTCATCTTACTTATCCTTTTTTTTTTTTTTCCCTTGTTGAGGCACAGTCTGTTTTTTCCTTTTTGAGGCACAGTCTCGCTCCGTCTGCCAGGCTGGAGTGCAGTGGCACCATCTCGGCTAACTGCAACCTCCGTCTCCCGGGATTAAATGATTCTCCTGCCTCAGCCTCCCGAATAGCTGGGATTACAGGCGTGTGCCACCAGGCCCAGCTAACTTTTGTATTTTTAGTAGAGATGGGGATTCACCGTGTTGGTCAGGCTGGTCTCAAACTCCTTACCTCAGGTGATCCGCCTGCCTTCACCTCCCACAGCACCCGGCCCTACTTATCCTTTAAGACCAGCTTCATGTGCTGTCTCCTCCATGAAAACTTCCTCCCTGGATGATTCCAGTCCATATACTCTTTCTTGGAAATACCGGAGAGAACGTACCCTCTGCACCACTCATGTTGACACTTATACCATCTTTTGACATTTAATTCCAAGTTGCCTTCTTGGCTCTGAACAGCAGAAACGAGAAGAAACTTTGAAGAGAAGGGCAAAGTTCCAGTTGAACACAGTTTAGAGCTCTAGGCCAGGAGTCCAGACCCCTGGGTTCTCTTTAGGGCTTGGCCATGAATAGCCAGTGGCTTTGAGCAAGTTTTTATCTGGTTTGAGTCACCATTTTCTTATCTATGAAAAGCAGGGCATTACTTAGTTAATTGCACCAGCCCCTCTGCCTGATAGTCTCTGGTTCTGTTTTGTTTGTTTTACAGAATGAAGAGTAGTTTTATAGAAAAAAGAGGACAATATTGGGATCACCTTTGACCTGTCCATTTGGAAATATTTTCTATTGAGTTATAGAAAGGTGGGAAGCTTTCATTTAGAACAAGTAAGTATATGAGAAATAACATCTGCCTGGTTATACAGTCTGCTACCAAATACTGGTGATGTTGAATGGAAAATCAATTCATGGCTTCCTCTGACCAGTCGTATGTGGAAATACTGATAAATATTCTTCTGTTGTTTTAGGAATTCAGTTGCAAATATGGTAACCTGTGATAAAAGACAGAACTACAGACAGGATAGGACTTACACAAAGAGTGACCAGGTGTATGTTTTAAAGTGTTCTCATCACCTGTTCAGCCAGACAGCAGAGAGCTACACACATCAAGCTCATTGTGAAGAAACATGGTGTAGATCTAAGTGGCAACCAAAATGTAGCTCTTCCCACTTCAACGACTGGGTGTAGACCTGCGCTGTCTAGTATATTAGTAGTAGCCACTAGCCCCCTGTAGCTATTTAAAGGTGAATTTAAATAAAATTTAAACTTCAGTTGCACAGTCACTGTAGCCAGATTTCAAGTACTCAGTAGTCAGATATGACTAATGACTACCATATTGTATAATGCGGATATAGAACATGTTCATTATCACAGAACGTTTTATTGAAAGGCATTGGTCTAGACAAAGAGATATTCTGAAAAGAATGAATAATGAATTAATAAATGAGCAGCATTTTTTCCACCTAATTACTTGATAAGGAAGGAGTATGATGGTCTACATACAAGGATATATAACATAGTACAATAATACCTTACTGTTTTGTATATATAGATATATATATCTATATATTTTTATTTTTTTGTGAGACAGACTCTTGCTCTGTAGCCCAGGCTGGAGTGCAGTGGTGTGATCTCGGCTCACTGCAACCTCCACCTCCTGGGTTCAAGCAATGCTCCTGCCTCAGCCTCCTGAGTAGCTGGGACCACAGGCGCGTGCCACCATGCCCAGCTAATTTTTTGTATTTTTAGTAAGGGCGAGGTTTCACCATATTAGCCAGGCTGGTCTCGATCTCCTGACCTCGTGATCCACCCGCCTTGGCCTCCCAAAGTGCTGGGATTACAGGCGTGAGCTACCACGCCCAGCCACTTTTCCAATTTTGAGACATTTTTGTGTATGAGAGTTATGTGACTTATTCAATATAATGAGTCTTTTAAATAGAGTCTTTTAAATAACATGTCTTCATTTTATAGGTGAAGAAATGTAGTCTTAGGAAGGCTAGGCTGTGAACTTGTGTATGTGGGTCTCTAAGCCTTTCTGAGGCTTGCTTTCTTTTTTTTTTTTTTTCAAGACGGAGTTTTGCTCTTGTTGCCCAGGCTGGACTGCAATGGCGCGATCTCGGCTGACCGCAACCTCCACCTCCCAGGTTCAAGCGATTCACCTGCCTCAGCCTCCCAAGTAGCTGGGATTACAGGCATGCGCCACCATGCCTGGCTAATTTTGTATTTTTAGTAGAGACAGGGTTTCTCCATGTTGGTCAGGCTAGTCTTGAACTCCTGACCTCAGATAATCCGCCCACCTCAACCTTCCAAAGTGCTGAGATTACAGGCATGAGTCACCGCATCCAGCTAAGGCTGTATTTCTTTAGCTCTAAACTGAAGATCACAACGGGACACAGACTTAGAGGTTACTTCCATAGGGATGATGTAGAAGCTAGAGAACAGATGAGACCCCAGAAGGAAAGAGATGGGACTGTGTTGCAGGACATGTAGACAAGGAATATTCCGGCTGAGGTCAGCAGTAGAGCTCTGCAATGGTGAGAAAGGACAGCTGGGATGGGGTCCTGGTGCTTGGAGTGATTGATGTTGTATTTCAGGCCAGAGAGGTTCTGGGGTCTTTGAGAGAAGCACATTCCCTCTCTGATCAGTCAACACAGGTTTGAAAGCCAGGAGCGGCCAGGCACGGTGGCTCATGCCTGTAATCCCAACACTTTGGGAGGCTGAGGCGGGCAGATCAACTGAGGTCGGGAGTTTGAGACCAGCCTGACCAACATACAGAAATCTCATCTCTACTAAAAATACAAAATTAGCTTGGCGTGGTGGCGCATGCCTGTAATCCCAGCTACTTGGGAGACTGTGGCAGAAGAATCACTTGAACCCAGGAGGCGGAGGTTGTGGTGAGCTGAGATCGCACCATTGTACTCCAGCCTGGGCAATAAGAGCGAAACTTCATCAAAAAAACAAAAACAAAACAAAACAAAAAAACCCAGAAGCAGCCTAGCCCAGGAAGAAATCTAGTGCAGACGGTGTCTGAGAGTTAAAAACCAGGAAGACATTTCTCCAAGCTGTCACAAACATAGCATGGGCACAATGGGCACAGTGCCTGGGTACAGTGTGGTCTGCCTTTCAGAATTAGACATTGCAGAGTCAGACACAAAAAGGACACAACTATCCTCAAGGCCAGGCGGGAGAGCTTACATTGGATAAAAATCAGTGTTTTGATGTGATACTCTTCAGAAAAGACCAAAGTGGTGAGAGATAAAATGTGCTCTTCCTTTGTAGGGTGACACCTGAATAAAGGCTAAAAATAGTAGCTATCATATATTGAGTTATAACTTTGTACGAGATACTATACATGAATTCTTGTAACAACTTCCTAAGTTAAATACCGTTCTCCACACCATTGTACAGATGAGGAATCCCTGGTGTGCTGGAGCTGGTTCTTACTGTGATATGAAACCTGATTATTGAATTTTCAGGATTTTGTTAGCCAGTTGACATACACTGTTAGCTTGAAATAGGCCATGGTAGGAATATTTATACCACGGGGATTGGTGAATGCTACAAATTAGGGCCTTTACTCCTAGAAGGCCAGTTTGTGAAACCATTTAGCAGCACATAACTTTTTTTGTTGTTGTTGAGATGGAGTTTTGCTCTTGTTGCCCAGGCTGGAGTGCAATGGTGCAATCTCGGCTCACTGCAACCTCCACCTCCCAGGTTCAAGCGATTCTCCTGCCTCAGCCTCCCGAGTAGCTGAGACTACAGGCATGCACCACCACACCTGGCTAATTTTGCATTTTTAGTAGAGACAGGGTTTCTCCATGTGGTCAGGCTGGTCTCAAACTCCCGACCTCTGGTGATCCACCCGCCTCGGCCTCCCAAAGTGCTGGAATTACAGGTGTGAGCCACCGTGCCCAGCCAGCAGCACAGAATTGAAATAGACTCAAAGAGGCTTAGTGACTTGCCAAAGTCACACAGATGGTAGCAAGTGGCAGATCCTAGGCCAGTGCTGTTATTCTAAAGCCAACGGTCTTACCACTACGACCTCGATGGGGACTGTTTTATATCGGAGGGACAAGATAACTCACCTTACTTCATCACCAAAGCAAAACCATCTTGCTCATCAATGACTCTGGGGTTAGAACTGCTCTGCAGAGCATTTCTTAAAGGCCTGGAATTCAAGCATTTGGCATCTCCATAACTCAGGAGATGCCCACAGGAAAAAAATGCATGGCCCTAATGCTCTGGAGACAGATGCTGACATGCACATTATATATAAACAAATAAATATATATATTTCTCCCCATCTCCTCAGTGAATTTCATAAAGGACAATATCCGAGCCCTTATTCAAAGAATGGGAATGACTGTTGTAAAGCAAATTACAGATGACCTATTTGCATGGAATGTTCTGAATTACGAAGAAGTATGCAACATTTGCTGCAAGAAGGTGGAGCAGGATGCTGTGAGAGAGATCATTCACATGATTTTGAAAAAGGGTTCAGAGGCCTGTAACCTCTTTCTTAAATCCCTTGAGGAATGGAACTATCCTCTATTTCAGGACTTGAATGGACAAAGTAAGTATCATTTAGTTTTGCATCTGTTTCTGCAAATAGCATAGACCATAACAAAGTTCCAAAAGCAGATGGCAGAGCCTCTGCTTTTCCTCCTCTTCATATCACCTGGCAATGGCCTTTGATTCCTGCTAAGGAAAAGCTTAGATGATTTTAGGAAAAATTCATAGTAGATCAATTGATGGTGAAGCCAAACAACCCCAGGGCCAGGGAATAAATGACTGAGTATAGTGTCACTGCAAGATAAAACAGGACAATGGGTGTACTAGTTAAGCTGCCAATGCAGCGGTGGTTCTCAGCGTTCCCTGCTTGGATGAGATCTACCTATGGGAGAGAGGCCCAGCTGACTACCTACCATGTCCAGGCCTCCTGGTAAAGACAGCCTGACTGACACAAGAGCACAATTCTATTTTTCATGAAATATGAATTCAGTTTTTATTTTTTTAAATTAGTAAATAAGGTCATGACAGATTTTACTTAGAGTGAAGGCCTAATATGCTGACAGTTACCCCAACCATCTTTCTCCGCCAAATTTTTTACTTTCCTTAACCCATACACAAGCTCCTCCCTTTTCCAACCAGCTGCTATAAGATTTGGTTGTGGAAAGGAGGAAACAGAAAGCAAAAAGGGGAGTGGGGTAAAGGATGCCGGGGAAAGGGGGAGCAGACAGAACCCTTTGTGCCTGCTCGGAACTGGGAAAGGACATTACGTTCACCAATGGCAGATTCTCAGCCTCACCCCCTCGTTCACCCTCCTGAACTCTAGGTTTTGAGGAGACACAGAATTGGGTCCTCTTTAACATCACCTCTTCTCTAATAGGTCTTTTCTGTCAGATATCAGAAGGAGACTTGGACGATGTGGCTCAGGATTTAAAGGACTGGTACCATACCCCATCTTTTCTGAACTTCTATCCCCTTGGTGAAGATATTGACATTATTTTTAGCCTGAAAAGCACCTTCACAGAACCTGTCCTGTGGAGGAAGGACCAACACCATCACCGCGTGGAGCAGCTGACCCTGAACGGCCTCCTGCAGGCTCTTCAGAGCCCCTGCATCATTGAAGGGGAATCTGGCAAAGGGAAGTCCACTCTGCTGCAGCGAATTGCCATGCTCTGGGGCTCCGGAAAGTGCGAGGCTCTGACCAAGTTCAAATTCGTCTTCTTCATCCGTCTCAGCAGGGCCCAGGGCGGACTTTTTGAAACCCTCTGTGATCAGGTCTTGGATATACCAGGCACAATCAGGAAGCAGACATTCATGGCCATGCTGCTGAAGCTACGGCAGAGGGTTCTTTTTCTTCTTGATGGCTACAATGAATTCAAGCCCCAGAACTGCCCAGAAATCGAAGCCCTGATAAAGGAAAACCACCGCTTCAAGAACATGGTCATCGTGACCACCACCACTGAGTGCCTGAGGCACATACGGCAGTTTGGTGCCCTGATTGCTGAGGTGGGGGATATGACAGAAGACAGTGCGCAGGCTCTCATCCGAGAAGTGCTGATCAAGGAGCTTGCTGAAGGCTTGTTGCTCCAAATTCAGAAATCCAGGTGCTTGAGGAATCTCATGAAGACCCCTCTCTTTGTGGTCATCACTTGTGCAATCCAGATGGGTGAAAGTGAGTTCCACTCTCACACACAAACAACACTGTTCCATACCTTCTATGATCTGTTGATACAGAAAAACAAACACAAACATAAAGGTGTGACTGCAAGTGACTTCATTCGGAGCCTGGACCACTGTGGAGACCTAGCTCTGGAGGGTGTGTTCTCCCACAAGTTTGATTTCAAACTGGAGGATGTGTCCAGCGTGAATGAGGAAGTCCTGCTGACAACTGGGCTCCTCTGTAAATACACGGCTCAAAGGTTCAAGCCAAAGTATAAATTCTTTCACAAGTCATTCCAGGAGTACACAGCAGGACGAAGACTCAGCAGTTTTTTGACGTCTCGTGAGCCAGAGGAGGTGACCAAGGGGAATAGTTACTTGCAGAAAATGGTTTCCATTTCGGACATTACATCCACGTATAGCAGCCTGCTCCGGTACACCTGTGGGTCATCTGTGGAAGCCACCAGGGCTGTTATGAAGCACCTCGCAGCAGTGTATCAGCATGGCTGCCTTCTCGGGCTTTCCATCACCAAGAGGCCTCTCTGGAGACAGGAATCTTTGCAAAGTGTGAAAAACACCACTGAGCAAGAAATTCTGAAAGCCATAAACATCAATTCCTTTGTAGAGTGTGGCATCCATTTATATCATGAGAGTACATCCAAATCAGCCCTGAGCCAAGAATTTGAAGCTTTCTTTCAAGGTAAAAGCTTATATATCAACTCAGAGAACATCCCCGATTACTTATTTGACTTCTTTGAACACTTGCCCAATTGTGCAAGCGCTCTGGACTTCATTAAACTGGACTTCTATGGGGGAGCTATGGCTTCATGGGACAAGGCTGCAGAAGACACAGGCACAATCCACATGGAAGAGGCCCCAGAAACCTACATTCCCAGCAGGGCTGTATCTTTGTTCTTCAACTGGAAGCAGGAATTCAGGACTCTGGAGGTCACACTCCGGGATTTCAGCAAATTGAATAAGAAAGATATCAAGTATCTGGGAAAAATATTCAGCTCTGCCACAAGCCTCAGGCTGCAAATAAAGAGATGTGCTGGTGTGGCTGGAAGCCTCAGTTTGGTCCTGAGTACCTGTAAGAACATTTATTCTCTCATGCTGGAAGCCAGTCCCCTCACCATAGAAGATGAGCAGCATATCACGTCTGTAACAAACCTGAAAACCTTGAGTATTCATGACCTACAGAATCAACGGCTGCCAGGTATTGTAAATATCAGTGGTTTGTGCTATGTTCACTTAAAAAAAAAATAATAGTGTATAAATTTGGAAAAGGAGAGAGGAGACTTTATTTCTTCTAAAGGGTTACAGCCTGCAAGGTGGCCATCCCGTAGGCTGGGAAACATGCCTGTAACCAAGACCACAGACAGGCACCTCGAAGGAGGGGTTGAGGTAGACGCTTTATGTTGAATGGGTTGGCTAAACATACATATTCAACAGATTACAGGAGGAGCTATGAATATTCCTGAAGGTGGTCTTGACACATGCCTATTGAATAAACATGCATGTAACATACAACCCAAGTTCACTTTGGGGCGGAGATTTAGCATTTAAATCAAGCTTATCCAACCTGCAGCCCGTGGACTGCACGTGGCCCAAGACGGCTTTGAATGTGGCCCAGAACAAATTCATAAACCTTTTTTTTTTTTTTTTTTTGTCGCCCAGGCTGGATTGCAGTGGCCGGATCTCAGCTCACTGCAAGCTCCGCCTCCCGGGTTTACGCCATTCTCCTGCCTCAGCCTCCCAAGTAGCTGGGACTACAGGCGCCCACCACCTCGCCCGGCTAGTTTTTTGTATTTTTTAGTAGAGACGGGGTTTCACCATGTTAGCCAGGATGGTCTCGATCTCCTGACCTCGTGATCTGCCCATCTTGGCTTCCCAAAGTGCTGGGATTACCGGCTTGAGCCACCGCGCCCGGCCCATTCATAAACCTTTTAAAAACATTACGAGTTTTTTTTTTGCAAATTTTTTTTTTTTTTTTTTTAGTTCATCAACTATCATTAGCGTTAGTGTATTTTATGTGTAGCCCAATACAATTCTTCTTCCAATGTGGCCCAGGGAAACCAAAAGATCGTACATCCCTTTAAATGATTTAAATATATTACAATAGGCCTATACTTCAGAAGTTCTTTTCAGAACACAAAGGTAAGCAGGTACGCAATCTCTGTAAACCAGCCAGAACCAGTCTGTGGTTGGCGGTCCTCTGATCAGGAGAGAGTTACTGAAATCACTCTCTTCTCCAATCAAACCTGTAGTTATGGCAGGTGGAACAGGGATTGTTAGCATTTGTGAGCTGGATGAGTTGCGAATTGTTTAATATTCACAACTATCAATATTGCTTGTCTTGAGACCAATGCATGTTTAGCTACCAAAGAAGAAAAATCTGTGGTGGTTACGGCACAGTTTATTCTTTAAAAAAATTTTTTTTTTCAAGGTAGGGTCTTGCTCTGTCACCCAGGTGGGAGTGCAGTGGTGCAATCACAGTTCATTGCAGCCTCAACCTCCTGGGCTCAGTCGATCCTCATTGTTTGTTTTTTTTTTTTGAGAGACGAGGTCTCACTATGTTGCCCAGGCTGGTCTTGAACTCCTGGGCTCAAGCAATTCTACTGCCTCCACCTTCCAAACTGTTGGGATTACAGGCATGAGCCACGACGCCCAGCCTAGGACAGTTTATTCTTTAAGTGTAGAGCTGCATGACTTAGCCTTTGCCTGGCATGGTCTTATGTCCTGTTTATAACTTGGTATTTTATTGCCATAAAAAGTCTGTTCTGTTAGTCTTACGATCTCTATGTTAACAGTAATGCTGATGAGTTGTGTTCAAACCACAAAAGAGAGGGAGTATGATGATGTGTGTTTGACCTCCCATCCTGTCATGGCCAGGTCCTTTGTTTAAGTTTTTTTCCGGGGTCCCCTTAGCCCAGAGGGGATGCATTCCATTGGTGCAGGGGGGCCTAGGATTTTTAGTTTACAGCTATAATCAAGCCTGGCTGGAATTAATAGCCAGGAATACTGTGAAAATGTAGATATATAGTTTTGCTTTATTTATTTATCTATTATTTATTTTTATAGATATGGGGGTTCAAGTGCAGTTTTTTTACATTGATATATTTCGTGGTGGTGAAATCTGAGCTTTGAGTGTAACCACCATTATCAGTTAGATAATTTCTCATCCCTTGCCTCCCTCTCACCCTCCCACCTTTCCAAGTCTCCATGTCTATTCCGCTTTCTATCTCCACGTGTACACGTTATTTAGCTCCCACTTGTAAGTGAGTACATATGGTATTTGACTTTCCGTTTCTGAGTTATTTCACTTAAGATAATGGCCTCCGGTTCCATCAGTGTTGCTGCAAAAGACATGATTTCATTTTTATTAGTTTTGTTTTAAATTTTCTAGTAGTTTCTGCTAGATGTCAGGACTTGAAAGGAAGGTGGAGAGAGGTCCATGCTGGGGGAAAGTTGTCAGATTGGGAGCCATAGGGAAGATTCCCAGAGCTGTAGTCCGATTGGAAAGATATATATACCCACACCTACATATATACATATATGTATGTGTTTAAATATCTTTAAAATATTTTAATTAAAAATATAAATATATTAAAAATATTTTTATTAAAAATATATTGAGAGGCTGAGGCAGGTGGATCCCCTGAAGTCGGGAGTTTGAGACCAGTCTGACCAACATGGAGAAATCC